AAAACAAAATGTTTTGCATAACATCACGTCGGTACTGTGATAACACTTAACGGCACAGATTTTACTACATATTTTTTTAAAAATATTTTTTTTTCTCCATATGTTTGACTGACTGTATTTTATTATGATAATGAACAGGCTGCATTGTCAAGGTAGCAATGCTTAATTGTGAGCGCGCATGCGGCGCCGGCACAATCACTTGAATTTTTCCCTTCTACCAGTGGAAGAAACTACTCCTTTTAGTCCTAAAGATAATCGGAATTGTAAAAGGTTTGCCTTTTTTTGTGTACATTCACAATAAAAACAAATCTTTGTGCTTTTGTAAAATAAGCCTAAAGAAAAATATGATGCCGCTTTCTGCCGTCTGTTTCCTTTCGCGCAGCACAAAAATGAACCGAAGCTCTGCATATAGGCTACTTGTTGCAGTTTTTCTTTCATTCTCTAAATTTATTATTTAAGTAAAAATATGTTTCTCGTATAGGCCTATTTATTCATTATATAGGCTATAGGCTACCGCTCGCAGAAGCGCTGCAGGTGCGTATATGATGACCATGTGAATCCTCATGTTCTGCTGTTTGCTGCTTTTTGCGCATGTAAAATTAAACCCCGGGAAACAAATGTTAGTATTTTTTAATGGATCACAGACACTTATCCTTTCTAATTTAATTCAATTCTAATTTAAAATAATCTTGTCGGTTAACGGTTAACGAGCGTCGGTTGGGAAAAATAACCAAAATGAACATCCCTAATTTACTGACTGTTCACTTGTCTTTAATAATAAACTTTATATTTGTTAGGCTAGTAGTTTTTGCTGTGGTATCGAAATTGGAATCGAGATTTGAAAAAATTTAATAGGTGTCAAAAATGTTGTTGTCATATAAGCTTATCTATAAGAATAAAAGATAACATGGGTCAAAAACAATGATAACAGCAACTATTTTCTTTTTTGTGGCAGGGCCAGTGAAAATATTGGCAGGGCAAGTAAAAATTTTAACTACTGCCCCGACTGGGCCAGCAGAAAAAAATCCTTAGCGTTAAGCCCTGCTAGCCATACCGTATATTGATCACTGTCGACAGATGGCAGGACAAGACAACCTCAAAATTAAAATCCTTCTCATATAACAATACAAAGTTTCTTACTTTTTTTGCAGAGGTGGCAGTTTATACCACATATTACCTGATATGGTCTTCTGTGCCCCAGAACTATAAGCCTAAATCTATGGCCTACATTTAGCAAATAGGCTATTAAAGTGCAGCATAATAAGTGCAATATAGTAAGTGAAGCTAGATGTGAATCCAATGGAATACAGTGAAAGTCTTGAAAGGCAATGCTCAGAGTTATAACTTGAATGAAAACAGGCTATTATGCACTTATTTCATAGCTACATACTGACTAGCCTAGATGGGCACAAATTTCTGTGTTTTGTGAGAAGAGACTGCTGAGTGATATGATAACTGTGAAACTAGCACAGCGGAAACTGGTTGTAGTTGGTTAAACAGTTTGGTATTCATTAGACTCGTTATATATAAAATATTTGACTGAAGAATGCTACAATCAACCAATCAGAATTAAGCATTTCAGAAAGCAATGTGTTAAAGATACAGTCCGTAACTTTTTTTGGTTAAAAATGATCCAAAATCAATATTTGAGTAAGTACATAACCAGCCAGTGTTCAATACTATCGCCTTACTTTAGCCCGATTCACAACGGTTATCTTATATTAATGTTTTCTAATTTGAGTGGTACAGGTAGGTTTTCGCGGGAAATTCGAGCATGGCACTGCGTCATTACGTCACGTCTGTAAACATAAAACATGGTGACATTATTTTTTAAGTAAATATAATGTGCGATATATTGCGTCACCAAAAATTATTGAGGTCATGTACATGTATTGCGCGATAAGTCGATATATTGATTATTGCGACAGGCCTAGATTCATCCACGCTGGAGCCGTGCCGACTCACAACTCACGCAAGCTAGATAAACTAAATAGAAATACACCGCTGCAATTCCAGGTTTTCAAACTGAGGTGGCGACAAAGAGGCAAAACTTACAGACTGCAGATTTAAGTGATCATAACACACTATGAATTTCATAAGTAATGCAATAGGATTTAATCACATTATATATGAGAAATACCGTTCATTAATCAATCATTTTTTGGGGGTTATTTTTTCAGTGTTTGGGTAGTTTTTGTGTTACCCAGCTCCTGGGTCAGACATGATATAACCCAATGTTTGTGTAGTTTTTGTGTTTCTCAGATCCAGGGTCAGACGTAACCCAGTGGTTGAGTTATTTATCGCAGGGATTTTGTGTCTTCTCTTCACGAGAGAGCAGTTCTAAGCACCATCGAATTGATGCATTCTTCAGTAAAATACAGGTTTGTGTACATTTTATTTTATCTATAAAATCGTTACTGTGCTGTATATCGTTCAATTTTATGCAGAGCAACATACAGGGGCGCAGTGTGTGAATCACCTTTAATGAGTGTCGTGGTCTTTTCACGTGATGGAAAAGCCTGATGCTTTGCATAAAATAAATGACTTTATTCATAAAGATACAGAATATAATACTGGATGTTA